AGCTCCTAGCTGCGAGGCCTTGCCTTGGCAAACTCTACGACAACTCGGACCGGCCTATGGTCAAGAAGGTGATCCGCTTGGAAAGCCAGCGCGCGGAAGGCGCTGTGTTGCCAGTGGCAGATCCATATCGAGATCTCTCTTGCTCTGACTTGGGCATCTTCTTTCCTCGCGGAAACGTCTTTGCCTCCCACATCTCCATGCTGGCGGTCGCGAAGGATGACCCGGACATCAGAGAGGTTGACATCAACGGGGACAAGCATTTGGTGACATCCCACCATCATGTGGTGCCATTTCCGGAGATTGACGGCGCCAAGCCGTTTGCCGTGGAGGCATTTTGCCACTTCAAGAACTGCCATCTCTTCAACATGGCTGATGGCGCCCCGCGCTTGCTTGTGGGAAAGCCGATCCAAGATTGCGACACAGACCTCATGACTTGCCATGTCGAGTGGATGGCCAGGGCAAATGACGATGTTGTTCGCTCTGTGGTCGCGGAAAGAGACACGGTGTGCCACCTGCTAGGAATGAAGCCAGAGCTGGCCTCAAAAATGCGCACGGCTGAGATGTTGGTTGCACGCACGCCGTCAAAAGTGACGTGCTCTTCCTGGAGTGATGGCAGCTAAGGCTCGCAACGCACCGGCGCTGCTCGGACAGACGCTGTCGTGCGGAACTCCGATGCACGCCGGGTTTTGCTGGCTTTTGCGAAGCTTTTAATCATGCAGACGGTCATACTTTTTGAAAGCGATCAACCGAGTGAGCGGAAAAAAAGGGTCGTGCGTCGCAGCCTGCACCACTGTAGGAGCATGCCTCGCTTGCAGCACTTGGCCTCTGCGCATTGTGTTGCAGGCGCGCCTGCCGCGGGCCGCGCCCTGGCTCACTCCTCGCAAGTGACCATCACGACCATGACACGCTTGGTCCAGTGGCTGCGGCTTCGTACTCATGTTTGCAGCGGCTTCAGCCATTTTCCCCTAATTGGAACATGCTTGCGTTGATGGCAGCTTGACAACATGACATCATCAGCCCCAGCTCCTGCTTCTTCCCTCCTTGGACTCGCGCTTGCAGCCGGGCGGCGCGCTGGCGATCCAGCCATCGACGGCATCAGCCTGGATTGCTGCCGTGGCCTCCGCCTTCCGCAACAAGATCGCGTCACGCGGGCTGACGCGTGCTTTTGTTTCACTCAATGAGCCAACAGTGCTAACTTTTCCGAATGGGAAGGATTTTGCTTCAAGCATTTGGTATTTCGGACTCAGCAGCTCGCTGAGTGGACGTTGGCTCCCGCCAAACGCAGCAGCCATGGTCAGGATTTTGGAGCTTGATTGCATTCGAGCTTGCCAAGGTCTTGCAGTGTGTGCCGGAAGATGTGCCTTCAGATGGAGTACGGAAAAAAGGTATCCTGCAGCGTTTGGCCGACCTCGCTTGCGATGTTATGCTTTCGGGCCAACCGTGGTCTAGTTTTTTTTGGGGGGGGAGGGGGGGGGGTACAGCAAGCCACCGTCCCCCCCTTTTGCGAGAGACAAGCAGGCGTTTGGGACATCGCCTGGTTTTCTGCCGGTGCTTGAAGCGAAAAAGCTGTAGGGAACCCAAAGGCAATCATAAAGTGGACAAAGGCTTGTTTCAATATGATGTCATATAGGGTCTTGCAAGAGCCCTGTCTGGAGAAGTGGATCTATGCTCATTTGGGACAGACTCAGTCGATGGGGTTCCCAATCAAAATTCAAGGCAGGTCGGGCATTGCACGTCCAGTGCCGGGTTGCCTTATGCCTTCGAGTCTGGGACGTAATCACGCTCCGGCGGGGTCTGGCCAATCCGGCGTTTGCCCCAAAGCTTTCTTGTGCCTAGGCGAGAGACAATGAGACAAAATATTTTCCGGTTACGGTCCCATTGCCAGGGCTTGCCGCATTCCTTGACAATCAATATTCCAGGTGCCTGGATTTTTTGTTTTGCTTGTGAACAAACGCCACCCTCCCTTAACCGTTGGTTTCAAGCAGGCTTGCGCCATCGCTTTGCCGCTACCTAGTTGTGTAGGTGATTAGCAACCTTGGCCCGCGGGAACTCAAATGGCAATTGGTTTCCAACCATGCGTTGCTAATCTCTTCCCCCTATTAATAAATACGCCCCCCCCCCCCCTATTATAAATAAATCCCCCCAAAAATGTATTTTTTTTTAATTGGGGTTTTTGGGGTTGGTTTCTTTTGCTTTTCCAACAATGTGAGGGTTCACGTAGGATTTGGATGAAATGGATTGAATTGTAAGGTCCGCGAGTAAGCGGTTCAAAGGAAATTTGATGTATCATAATATTTGTTTACCAGTTTACTGGTTGTTTGTTTGCAGCCAGGCAGGTTAATTAGCCAGCATGTACGGGAGAGAGACAGTCGCAGCTAGAAGACAGCTTTTGGGGACATGTTTGGGAAAGCAACCTTTCGGGGAATTGAGGAACCCACCTGTTGAAAAGTGAGGCTGGAAGCTTGCCAAAAGTGCCCCCTAATAAGGATTCCAAGACGTTAGTATTGGTTTAGTATTGGCGCAATGGAAAATCAATTGTGTGGAGTAGAAATCTGGTCCCGGGCCCCGGATTTGCATTTATTATTAATTGGGGTCATTCATTAATTGGGGGAGCGGATTACTTGCTGAATGCCTCCCTTGAATTTGTGTAAGTGGCTTATTTAAGTTTCAGCTGCCCAAAAATCCGACCTCCATTTTGGCCACAGTTGCTTGGCCTCAAAAGGTGATCGCTCTCCATTTCCAGGTCCCTGAGGGGCAGCTGAGATATGCGTCCGGCCATTTTTTTCGCGGTAAGGAAAGGAGGCCTCGCGGAACGACGCGGCCCAGTACTTCGCTGCTCGGCGTCAAGAGACCCCCCCCCCAAGGAGGGCCTTCCATGTGCTGAAATGAATATGTGGTTTGTTGGTCCTTGTTGGTTTCTTCTGGTGACCATTTTTTGGGGGTGCGGCGGTCCCCTCCTCTAGGGAAATCGGCCTCCTGTGTGAGGGAACACCATGTAAAGCAGATTCCCGTGTAGTCAATTTCGCTGTATATGGGTGTGGCCTTTTTTAAGATCACCCCGTTGGCAAAACAATTGGACACCACTTTTGTTGTAGGTCCCTTTTCCCCATATATGGATAACATTGTCCATTCTGTTTACATATTGTAGGAAGCCTTCAAGAGGACATTGCCGTCAAATGCACGAACAGCGGCAAGCTGTCAGAAGCACTTGCAACCGCATGCATGCGAAGGACATCCTGCTCTCATGCTGGCCCCGGCAACTGTGGTCAAGCACAATTTACATGCATGTAACGAGGGAGGCAAGTTGCCGAACTTTGGAGAACACATATCAGTTAATGTACCAGTGTAGTGTTTAAATAGCAGTTGTTGTGGCGTTGGGGGCTAGGCTTCGGCCCCAAGCTGCAAAGCAGCCAAGCCAGCAAAGCGACAGCGCGGACTTACCCCCCAACTGCCAAGCAACTACAGTCCTGGCCCTTTGAACCAGGAAACGCACCCCGTTAGCCAACGCCCTGTCACACTGCTCATACCCATCTGCCGGATACATGGCTCGCTCCCAATGGAGCCCGACCATATGAGATCTTGATGGCAGCCCTATTCATCCCAATTCAATCTCTGAAGCCACCCGCAACAGAATGGGGGGGGGGTTGGGGTTGGGGCCCGAAGAACAACCTGGCCTTTGCCAATTGATGCGAACTGACAGACTGATCGGACAGGTTTTTCTGCATTTTGCCCACGTGGGTGTGTCTCCAAAAGTGAAGCCACCAAAAATGTAATTATTCCCTTGGCTTCTTTCAAACCAAGCTCAACCAAAAGTCAAGAAAAAGTCCCCAAACAGGCAGGCATTCCCTTGCAATCCTGGGATCAGTATCCGGCGCAGGTGGAGTACCGCGGCCTGGATGCAAATCTAGTGGCGGAGCTGGAGGGCAAGAAGACTTGAAGTCGGTCCAGGCACGTGGCTCGCTGTTTTGTTTTCTTCCTTTTTTCGGCTTTGGACCGGACCCCAAAATCAAACTGGTGGTGGCTTCCTTTTGGTTGTCCGAAAGAAGCGACCCAAAACGGGGTGCCCTGGTAAAGGTGACAGACCCACATTGCAAGACCAACTGGGGGTAAAACGAGTGGTAGATGCTAGGAGGACTCGTGACATGTACATGTTTATCTCAGTGATAGGTGACTTGGAAGCAAGAGTCGCGCGGTTGAACTGCGTCAACTTGTGTTTGCTTTTCAGCGTGCCTCCCTCCCATCAGGTTCGCGGAAAGCTTCTACCTCCGCCTAAAGTGGTGCGGAGAGACGACGTGCAGGAGCGAGCCGTTGGCTTTGTCGTCGAGCTGGTGGCTGAAGCGTGGACCCCATTTGGAATCTCTCTTCATGTCGCCAGTGGATGCCAAGCACCACTATCCCGTGATGGTTCCATTGTCCCTATTCTAGGGAATGCCAGAGAAAAAGAATTGGGGGACCCCCCAACCGCTGGGGGGGTATCCACCATCACAGGTAGCCAGCCATTCTTCTTTCAGTTTTTGAATTGTGGTTGCCCTGGCTACCTACTACTTAGGCAAATGGGAAATCAATGGGTCAGATTTCATTTGGAGGAGCTTTCAGGAAATCTTCTATGTGAGTCGTTCATTGAGGGTCATTTGATTAGTGTTGGTCCTTCGGGTTCCGAAGTTGACAGTACAAGCCGGCACAAAATCACACCGCTGCGACCTGCCTTGTGGTTAGTTGGGGTCTTCAGAGTCGAAGTACATTTGAGTATCAGTTTCAACACATGGGTCATGATCCCGTTGCTGGGGCCTTTGCGAGCTTAGCGCATGCCTCAAAAGGCTGATGCTTTCTGCTTTCCGAGCGAATCTTGAGCCATTTGCCGGCTTCAGAGGCGTGTCACCGTTTGGCGAGCTACTGAAAGCTAAGGTCAGCAGTACTCCTACGCCCTTGTTCAACAGTGACTTGCGTCCATGAGCGCCTCATGAAACGTAGGGAGACAACAGCGCATGGCCAACAAGACAACGTCAAGCCGAGTGCAGCATCTTGCAGCCTATCGAATCCGACGTGTGACCGAAATGGCCTCGAAGCATCAAAAGCAGCAGCTTGCCTGAAGCTGGCCTTATCAACTTTTCCGCTTGTCCGGCCCTTGGGTGTTGCTGTTGTTTGCTTGGGCTTCCCTTTCAAATTTCCCCGGCAACTAGGTAATTGCGTTTTTCCCTATAGTGTGTTGCTAGTGACCCAAAGCCGTAGTCTGGCATTCCGAACTCCATGTTACCTTCTTAAAGATTGCTGTTATGTGTGTGTGTGAGTATTACTGTGATTGATTATTATGTTTGTGGTTGTGACTCTTCACAAGTATCCTTGTTTCTATCAAATATAGTATGTACGCACATGCACAGGAATTACCTATTCTCTAATATATTTTTGAGAGCCTGCGTTGAGCGGCTGGAGTGCCCTTTGGTGTTTGATTTGTTGCATGTCAGGGGTTCCCCTACTTGGAGACAACGCAGCGTCTGAAAAACGGTTTGGACACGGCTTGTTTGGATCCAGCCCAGGATGTGAACAGACCACCCAGAGTTGCTGCGTTTTAGTATTGAAGCACATGGGTTGTGAGAGAGGATTTGGGGATCCCCTCCCCGCCCCCCGCAGATGTTGAGGCAGTGGTCAGCGGAACAGGAGGCCCTGGCCGTGCTGCGGGTGGAGGAGGACGACCTGGACTGGCGCTGTGAGGAGGCCCGCGGGGGGTCTTCCTACCGTCCCAAACCGGGTCCCTTTGGGTCACTGAAGAGCCAGGGTCCGAATCTTAGCTCGAACGGAGCTTGGGAAATGACCCGACCATCAAAGGCTAAAAGCACTGCAAACCGCGCTCCTCATCCCCAGGCTTTGCAAACCTCCATTTGGTTGTTTCTTAAAATTTGTGGCCCAAAGCCTAAATCGGTTTGTTTTTTGTCGGAATCCTTCTGCCAACCAAACGCGTGCCCATTTTGAGACTTGATTTTCCCTATGCCAGCCAGGGCTTCCCGGGTTTGCGGCGCGTGGGGGGCGTGGACGTGTCCTTCTTCGCGGACGGCACATATGCCATCGCCACGGTGGTGGTCCTGAGCTTTCCGGATCTCGAGGCGACTCGCTTAACGGATGTGCCGATATTCTGTGCACGTTGCCATAGAACCCACGGGCCTTGTTAGAGGAAGAGCTGCGTCCAGAACCTCTCAGTCTGGTTTCATGTTAGTGGCTCAGATGTCAATCGCTTTCTGAGGAAGAAGCCACAAGCACAGCCAGGACTTGTGAAACGTTTGGACCCCCATGCTTCGTGGGCTTCCTTTGGGTTTCTGTTTGAACCCGTTCGGAATTGGCATAGGCAGTGGTTAAGGGTGGAAGCAAGGTGGGTTCAGGGCTGGTTCATGGTAAGTTCAGTGTTGGTTTGGGGTTGATTCAGCATAGGTTGAGTTTAGGGGGTCATTCAGCGCTGCTGAGGATTGTTGGTGGGGCCCCCCGGCGCTCCCGGGTTGAAGGGGTGGTTTTGTCCAACTTGCATCTTCCCCTTTACCAAGGTCTCCAAACCTAGTGGGCAAGAGCTAACTTTGAACACCAAGGAGGTTGTTTGAACCAGGGCGAAGGCGCCCGGCGCGCCTGCCGCTTGGCGTAAACCCAGGTGCTTTGTGAGCGCACCGCCTGCTTCCGCCTCGCAGTGCCCTATGTTCCAGGCTTCCTAGCCTTTCGCGAGGCCGGCAGCGGACTCAAAGAAGCCTGGAGCAGCGGACCCATCGTTTTTTTCTTTCTCCCACGTTCTTTTGGGGCTGGTGTGGTGCGGTTCCACGGTTTTGAGAGAGAACAATTAGCTTGAGGAACGACGCTCTCGGTTGCTTTTTACGGGCTTTGCTGGCTTTGTTAATACGATTTGTGTTTTGGCGTGCATTTGTTCAGTCAGTTGATTTTACTTTTGGGCTGCGTTGGTTCTGTAATTGCTTGAATGCTGCTTCTAGTGCTGAATGTTGTTTGTTGTGGGTTTGCTCATGTTTCTGGTGGCTGTTTGTTCTAGTCGTGTTCAGGCTTTGTTGTGTTTCTATTTGTGTGTGTGTTTTGTTTGGTCGCTGTTGCTTCTGTTCCTGTTTGTTCTTTGTGGCTTGCGCTTGGCTCATTGTCTTACCTCGTTGAAGTAGCTTGGGCCTTTTGTAACATGCACTTATTGTTCAGGGTGCTTGTACGGGAGCGGCTCACGGAGGTGCCGGCATTGACGCAACTCCTCGATCAGCTGCCGCCAAAGCACCGGCCCCAAGTGGTCCTTGCAGACGGCACCTCGGAGAATGTGTCGCGTTTCTGGTGTGTGCTTGGGTGGTTTTTGCCATGATTCGGTTGTAATTATGCTTTTTTTTTGAGGGGTGGGGGGGAGCAGGGGGGCTTTTGGTGGTGCGTCGTTTTTGTTTGGTTGTTTGTTTCAGCCTTCAGTTCTGGCTGTGGTGACCGCATGCCAGCTGCCCAAGCAGTTTCTTTCTTGCCTGCAGATGGTTTTGGTCGGCATACCAAACGCTTGAAAAGTCATGGCGTGCCGGCGTGGCGTTGCGATTTCCTCAATTTCCGCCCCCTTGAGGGACACCCCTGGAAGTCCATGTACGGTCAGAGGCCAGATGAGTAGAATTCGGGGACCCCTCCTCTTTTCACTCCCTGAGTTCCTAGACTTTTTGGGAAGTAAACTAACAGCTTGGACATGGCTGTTGGTCAAAAATGGGTACCCAAAATAAAACCGCGGTAAACGGAACCAAGGACTAAAACCTGCGGTCCCCTGCCATTTTCATGTTGACCCACACCCACATTTTGGGCCAATGGCCTCAACAAGTGCGCCTTGACATATGTTTTGTCAGGCAACGGCGCCTTCCACCCTCGCAAGTGCGGGGCGGCCACTCACCTGGGCATCACCGCCAAGTTGCCCACCATCGGGGTTGCCAAGGAGGGGCAAGAGATTGAGGGTGGCGTGTTTGTTTGTTTGTTTGTTTCTTTGTTTGTTTGTTTGTTTGTTTGTTTGTTTTCCCATGCATGTTGTGTTTTTTTCCTGGTGTTTTTTTTTTGGGGGGCTTGAGTGTAACCTCGCATGGCCACGCATGACATTGCTCTCAGTCTTGCAAAGGGTCTTCAAAGGGAAGCAAAAAACAAACAACCTTTCAACCCTGAGGAGGTGCAAACGGAGCAGCTGGCGCGTGTTGTTTTCTCAAAAGCGATTCTCTTGCTGGGGGGTTCGAAGAGAAACTCAATGCGTTTTAGACGATCTTTGGTGGAAGCACGGGTTCTCTGAGTGCATTATGGTGTAATTTGTCGATGTCGCTCTTTGTGGGCTCGGAAAAGGACCTGGACAGCCATCAAGCAGCGATGTTATGCTGGGCAGTGGTGACTATTTTGGGCAAGGATTGAGCCGCCAGTTGGAAAGCCATTTCAGGACCCAAAGACGCCTCCAACACAAGTCGGGCTCAATATGTCAGCTGAGGTTCAATGATAGTGGTGTAAACCTATGAGCATGCGGGTGGCGTAAGCCTATGGTTGTCTTTGGACATGGGTTTTTTGCGTCAAGAGCCCGCAGGAGGTGCAGCAGGTGGGCGAGGTCAACACCTCCATGGCCCAGAAACTCGCCAGAACGCTGCGCCCCGGCGCGGCTCGGATGGCAAAGTGAAGCAAGAGTCGGCCCAGAAATCAGAAAGGCTCTGAGGGGCGTCTAGCAGCTATCTTAAGACCCTTCGAAGAACCTTCTACCAACCTTTGATTTTTGACTCCAGATTGTTAGGGGGATGGGTTCCCTCCAACAGTGATGAATTCTACCAAGGCGACACCCAAAGATCAAAATCGTGCAGGGTTCTGCTTAATCGGGAACCTTTCCTGGGGCTGGAGGGGCTTGGAGCTTGGTTTTCACTTGGGAGCGGAGATTCAGGGCCGAAAGCTGCCTTGCCAAAGGTTTTTCCAGTTGCTCAAAGACCTGTTGGGCAACCTTTTGCTTTGGTTTTGCCACTCGGCGACTTGCGTTTTGGCCATGCGCCGCCCCTGCCCAGGCTTCACAACTTGGGCACTTCAGCCATTTACCTTCGGGATTGAAAACACGAGGGGTTCGAACCACTCACCAGTGTGCGGACGTTTCAGACAGAATGAAACCCACCGTTTTGAGCGGCCTTTGTGCCTTCCGGTGCTGAACACGACAACCTGATTTGGTTGCCGTTTTGTGTTTGCGCGCCTCTTGGGAAATGAAACAAAAATACATCGTTGCCCTGCCTTAACAGATGACCCTTTGCAAGCAGCCTGAACCTTCCACAGAAAGCCATCTAAATGACAGCTCTTCGTTCTTTTATGAAGGGACTGGCGCTCACCGGGGCTGAACCTTCCAGGACTCCGCGTTGCTGTGCCCAGTGGCGGCCCTGCTTCAGGTGAATGAAGGCTCGGATCCTGATATATATATATATATATATTCCGTTTTGGCGTGGTCGATTTCTACGGGACACGAATCTGAGTCTGAAGACCAGTTTCACTTGCTCCCTGAGTTTCGTTTGGGACTTTATACCTTTGTGGGTTGTTCACCATGTTAGTGGAAAACAATAATATCATGTTTTTTGCCAATCCACTCAGGAAGTGAGGTGTAGCTGTTTGGGCTAAACACCATGGCTTTCAACTTTGAATAACTTGAGAGTAGAGGCGGAAACCAGCATTCAAGGAAATGATCTCGAAGACGAACAAGCTCAACTCGGAACTTGGCTTAGTTCAAGGCTTTGGTTCCAGATTTTTTGACAGCCCCAAGGTACTTAGACTTAAAACCCAGGTGTTCCCTTCTTGGGGCGAGAACCTACCCCTGGGTTTGAGTCTGGGAGACATTCGAAAAGGGAAGCCTAGTTCCACGTCCAGGCTCTCGGCCTCTGGTGGTGAGCCCGGGCCATCGCATCTCCTTGTCTTCCGCACTGCGTCTGGCGCCTGGGCTTCGATTTGGGTATGGGTCAAAATGAAACCACCAGGAATTGGACCGCAGGTTTTAGTCAATGTTTCCATTTGCCAGGGCAAGCCATTTTGGGGTTACCAGATTTTTGAGCCATTTGTTTTGCCCAATGGCGATTTGTTCCAAAGGCTTATTGACTTATTGGAGTTCAAGATGACCCTCACCCCTTTGGTCGTTGTTCATTTTGCTGCTCCTGGCTTTTCATAGCTTTTCCCAGCTTTAGGGTGTCCGTGGTTTTGTCTAGGGAGCTGTTGAATTGACGCACCGTTTGAATCGAAGGGATGTCTGGTGCGACCCTATGGTTCACCCCTTCCCTTTGCTTTTGACTCAATTGTCCATGTCTCAAGCCTTTTGTTGTCCATATGGTTGCTCAAGCCTTTGGTCCATGTCTCAATTGACCTCCATTGCCCCAAGAAACCGTCAGACCAGTCCAGTGGAGTCCACCCGCTTCACGCCATTTCTCTAGCCAGCCGAAAAAGCTGTAGGTTCAACCATGCCAGTGGGGCAAAGTCCACCATTTTTGGCTTAGCGCTTCGGTGGTTTAAATCAAACTTAAGCAAAGGGCGCGCCCCACCCAGGGGTCGCCAGAGGCCACCCCCCCAAAGCCAAGGGAGAGGGATGAAGCGTCTTGGCTTGTTGCCTTGGGGTCAGTGACCGGGCGGGAATGTCCCACAAACTGAGTCCCAAGAAAGTTTCATTCCTCAAGACAAGCGTTTGTTGCCCCACGAGCTCGCCGCACATTTGGCAGTGTTTGTCGTTGTCGCATGGCTGGGCTTAGCCCGCGCGTCTTTCACAAGAGAGCAATGCAACCTAAGACCTAAGCAACGGTTTGATACTCACCATACTAGCCGGATAAATCAGGCACCCCCCCAGACCCCCAAATAAAGCCTGAACGGTGGGTTTTTTGGGAAGTGGTTCGCGGGGTCTATGAGCAAACAACAACGGTCTCGCCTTGTCGACTTTCGCTCGTTTGGGCACGTCGGGCCATCAAATGCTGACATCCAAATCAGTGTAGCCAATGAAGTGTCAAGGCCTCCAGGTGAACATGTGATGCAAGTCGCTCCGACCACAATTCACTGTCATCTTGACCCCAGATGAATAAACTCCTGGTTGATTCGTAGGGGTGTCCCCTTGCAGTGGGGATTCATCACTACCTCAGCCTGACACGTCTCCCACATTGAGGAAGCATACTTTGCATTTCAGTCCCAGCCAGCAGGGCTTCAAGTCTGAGGTTTGCCTAAAGCATCCAAGCCAACCATTCAGTTCCGAGTCCTCGACCTACCTCCCCCCTTCTGCTGCTGTTCCCACCTGGGGGTTTGGCATCCTGAGCCAAAGCGAATCGACCTTTCGACGGTTGAACTGGTGCTTTTGGTTTCTCCTTGTTTGTCCATGTCTAGACATGGCCACAAAAGGCTAGCCTTGTATTTGTGGGTCATTTGGTCAAGTGTGAATAGGAGAAGCATTAGGTCCCCTGTTGGCCTCCCTGGCATGTGTAAGCTGGTTTCCTGAGGACCAACATGTAGCCCGCCCAAACATCCATCCTTACCCGCCCCCCCCACTGACCCCCCCACCCCGAGTCCTCCCCTGCCCAAAGTATCCTCATGCGTGGAAGGGGGGAGCGAACGAAACGAAACCCAAAGGAAGTGATTTAACCAGTCATTGAAACATGTGACGTTGGCCCAACCCTGCTTCCGCCCTTTCTCCTTTTGCTGGAGAATTTCCTCTTTCTCAATTCTACCTACTTCAACCTGAAGTCTCCAAAGCTATTTCCTAGGCTAAAAGGGAGCAGAAAATCTGAACATATGTATATATGTAAAACAATTATAGATATACATATATATATATATATATACATGTTTTTATATAAACCTACATAATGTTTATTCCTTCTGTGTACAGGTGCAGGGCGTACCCCACAGTCCAAGTCTCGGGTCCGATTGGGCCTCGAGGTGGCGGCCCTGTGCCGCTCGGGCACCTCCCCGGAGCCAATCCGGCAAGCGGACCGCCGGAGCCGCAAGGCGGTCAAGGCCGCGGGGGGGGACCCGCGGCCCCGAGAGTTTTTCCCAAAAAGGTGGGAGGCCCCAGAGAAAGTTCGCGAAGGGAAGGTTTTTCATTTCTGAAGTGTTCCTTTTGGGGAAAACCTCCCCAAAGGTCGGCGTTTTCGCTACTCAAAAGGCAAAGGGCCCACACAAAACAATCAGAGGCCTGGCACGCGGGGCAGCACGTGGAGTACCTGCAAGCGCCACGTAGCTTGCCCGAAGGGTCTGAAAGGGAGCTGAGGGGAGTGTCCAACATGGGAGGGCTGACGGGAGGTTGGGTATAATGCCCCATGATGTTCCATTTTGAGTGTGTTTACGAAATTCGGAGATATTGTATGTGTCATTTATCCCTCATAAGGTTCACAACAGATGGGCCAAGTCACTATATATTGATTAATGATTTCGGCTGGGTGAGCTTTCAGTGGGGTTGCTAGAATGGGCTTGCCTTCACAAGACCAGATGAGACCCTCCGCATGTGGCCCTTCTCTAGAGCATGCGCGGCAATCGCAACCCCTTTTCGGCCCTGAACGCTTTTTGTACGCGGCACAGAACAACACCTTACAACACACGGTGTCTTTCATTATGTTCGTCAAGCCAACATGGGCATGTCTCAAAGGTCGGGGCCTTTTTCGGATGGGCATAGGAGTCTAGGGGGCAAAAGGGACAAGCATCGATTCGGCTTTGGCTCCTCCTTTGCTTCTACACATTTGAGTTTATGTGTATGTGTATAACTTCAAACACCTGCAACAGGGAAGCCTCTTGTTTTCGGACCGCGCATGCTTGAGGTGAAGTTCTATGTGTGTCTGGTTTTGAAGACGAGTCGCAACAGGCATGTCGCTTTTCAGCTGCCAAGGGGTCATACGTATTGGTTGGGGGCTTGAACCCCAGTCCCTTTTTAAAGGCAAGGGAAGATACTCCCTAACATCCAGCATACCTTTTGGCTTCCATGTCAATCACATGTTCCGAGCCGCCGCTCCTTGCGCGTCCCATTCCTGCGTCCGATGGTGATGGACAGGGGATCGGCCAAGTCCATTTATTTGAATTCGCTTGACACAGAAAACGAGGGACGCCTTTCAAGCGACTCAAACATAGAACATAGAGGACATTGTCGCTTCATTGTTTGCTTCTTCTAAGTGTTTTTGTTTTTTAGGCAAACGGCAAGTGCTTCAACGCTTCTCAGGGCCTAGAAAGATCACGCAACCATTGTCACGACACGGGGCTTGCACGGAGGCCGAACAGGAAATGCCGCAATGTGAGGGGCTAACGCTAAGGAGAATAACCCACATGGTTCTCGTATCCTTTTGATCATGACTAAGCTTGGTTTGACATAATTGCCCCAGAGCCGATTCTAAATGGTTTGGAGTAAGTGGATCCAAACTGATGGACCGAGGTTTGGGCCACTTGGAGAAGATGTTGGCGCTAAAAGCGGAGACGAAATCAGAGCCCAAAGAGTGGCGGTGGCAGGTGAAGATGCCGCCACCAGCCGCTGGACTGCAGGGTAGCGCCTCTCTCGAGGCGCTCGGTTCCCTTTTTGTTGGCTGCGCCTTTTATGGAAACTTTAGAGCCTCCGGCTCAGTCCGCCGACATTGTCCTCTCCCTTTTCTCTTCTTCCTCTCTCCCTTGTCTCCCTCGTGCGTTCTGTCGTCCCCTCTGCTCCCCATCCTCCCCATCCCCCCAAGCCCCTCTCTCTCTCTCGCTGTCTCTGTTTCTCTGTCTCTTTCTGTCTCCCTGTCTCCTTCCTGTCCACGCCCCTCTACAGAAAAAGGGCACCCTAATTCGAACCTCTCTACTCTCTCACTTTCTTGCTCTTTCTCTCTCTCTCTCTCTGTCTTTCTGTGTCTCTCTTTCTCAGTCTCTGTCTTTCTCTCTCTCGCTGTCGCTCTCTGTCTCTGGCTCTGTCTCTCTCTCTCTCTCTCTCCCTCTCTCTCTCCCGCTCTCTCCCTGTCTCTCTCTCTCTCTCTGCATTGCAGCGTCACGTCCCCCCCTGAGTTGCCTCGATGTCCGGGCACTGCCCCTGCATGACCCGGAACTGTCATCTCACTACTGGCTTTCCCCTTGATTTCCCCGTCATGTCCCTTTCACGTTTCCCATGATGTCCTGGTCCTGTCCCTTCCATGCCGTTCAACCCCCCCTTCATGTCCCTAACATTTTCTCGGTATGTCAGCTTCATTTTCCATGTATGTCCCGTTCTTTCGTCGCGAGTCATTTCCCTACATCTCCCGTCGTGCCGATTGGTTTCCTTGTGCGTTTTTTCCCTTTCCTTCCCCCTGCACTCTGTTTTCATTTCTGTCCCTTGCATGTCCCTTTCAGTTCCCCTTTGTTTCCCTTTCATGTCCCGCTGCTTTCCTGTCATGTCGACTTCCTCATTTCCTTGCACTTCCTTGCATTTCCCCTTTGCTCCCCAATATTTTCCGCAAAAAACACGGTTTTCCAGCGTTTTCGCAATTAGGACGTCCAGATTTTCGGCAAAAGGAGGCAGGAACCCCAACCAAAGAGCCGGCAGGGAGAATCGAGCCTGCGACGGCTCCCCGAAGACTACGTTTAGTGGACCGTCATCAAATTGCCGCGCGGTCCTTGGCGGGGGGGGGTGGCCCCACGTATCAGACGTCGGGCGGGGGTGGGTTAGGGGGGGCGTTAGCCTCCATCCTCTCTTAGGTGTCCGACACGCCGCTTGTCGGGTCCCATATATGGGTGTTACACCCATACTTGAGCTCCAGAAAAGGGGGAGCGCACAAAATGCGGTTCCATTTGTTTTTTTCCTTCAAGGAAAGAAAGGATACCCTCAACAAACAGATTTCGGTGAAGTCCAGGGGTCATCGAAGCTTAACTTTTTGTCGCTTTCCTACAAAGGCACTCCCTTGATCGCATCATGTGGCTTATAGCATAGTGATTTGTCCGCCGAGGGCTGTGTCATTGCAGGAGCCCCACTCAAAAATGTCACTGGAACAGAACAGTTGTAACAAGTGAGTCGCAATCAACACATGGCGCGCAGAAATGTTGCCCACTATCCTGCAACCATCCGATATTGATTGTTGCTCAAGTTGGACCCATCACCCCAGCACGGCGAAGCTTTGTTTGCCGCGAGGTACCCACCTGGCATCTCTGATGCAAAACCCCCGCAGCCTACATCCCGGAGAGTGCCCAATCCCCTCCCCAAAGATAAAGACGACTCCCGAGTTCCCTTTCAACACCAAGCAGCACTTATTCTCTTCCCATCATTCTTTCCAGAACATTGCCACTCAAGATCCTTGCCAGACAATTGCCGACCAAGGCAAACAAGTTGCACACGGGCCCAACCCTTTGACCCTCAAAACGGGGCCGATGGACTTCGGGGAGATCCAGAGACACTGGGATGCCGCGTCTCAGGTAGCTGAAGCGGAGGTGGTCCCATCCACCTGGTTCAGCACTCTCTTCGGCTGGCTCTGCACGTGCAGCTCCAGAACCCCATCCATTCCTTGAGCCTTGAGCGTTCGAATCCGAGCGATGGATTCGTTGACACCGTAGATTGCTGGGCGACATTCCACCAACTCCGATGCCGCGTGAGTTTTGGTTCAGCCACCAACCAGCGAAGGAGGTTGTTGAAGCTATAGTAGGCTATAGTGCTTAAGCAAAAGGTTGGCCCAACCCTGCTGGGAGAAGATGGTTTCCAGGAATTTGGAGGAGACAGTTGCGGAGGGTGAGTCGCTCAGCGCTATGTACAGCAAACTGCTAGGTCATCTCGGCCAATGTGGCGCCGTTTCCGCCCTGGTTCGTCAATCGCTCCTCTTTTGATTTCGCACATCGCAAAGGTTTCTGAAGGCATTCGGATTTGGTGACCTCCCCTGCCCCTTTAAGAATTAAGGTATCACCAACCGAAACTATCAAAGCTTTGTCGGAAATTCGGAGATGCCGGGGCTGTCGTATGACAGGCAGCAAGATTTCAATTTGCTTTAGTCATGGAAGCCAGCAACTGGAATTTCTCCCTTGGAAATTGGCCAGACACCAACAACTTAGATTTCTGCAGAAGTTCCTGTAGCCAGTTTCCTTGATTTAGAGCTCACCGTTCGCGGCGGGCAACGCTTCATGTACAGGTTTGAGGCTGTGAGGAAAAGGGCACGGTGTCGCTCGCTGTGATCTGTAACGATGCTTTCTTTGTGCACTCCTTGCCCGTTCTTTCGGACCAGTCGTGTACTCGTGAGGCTGGCCCTCGCTAAGTTCCAAGTTAATGCATACCCCGGATTAATAAACCCCCCCCCCTCCCCCCCTCCCCCCTCAAGGTCACAAGGTCAGGTCAATAGTGGGAAGGGGAACCTTGTGGGAAGGTCAGGTCAGGGAACCTTGTGGGGGAAGGTCAGGACCTTGTGAGAAGGTCAGGTGAGGGAACCTTGTGGGAAGGTCAGCTGAGGGAACTGTGTGGGAAGGTCAGGACCTTGTGGGAAGGTCAGGCGAGGGAACCTTGTGGGACCTTGTGGGAAGGTCAGGTGAGGGAACCTTGTGGGAAGGTCAGGTGTGGGAAGGTCAGGTGAGGGAAGTGTGGGAAGGTCAGGTGAGGGGGGTGTTGGTGTGCAAAAGCAGGGCATCAGCCATGGTAGGTTAATAGGGGGGTGCTGGCTTTACTGGGGGGGTGCAAAAGCAGGGCATCAAACATGGTAGATTAATAGGGGGGTGCTGGCTTTACTAATGGGGGGTGCAAAAGCAGGGCATCAACCATGGTAGATTAATAGGGGGGGGTGCTGGCTTTACTAATGGGGGGGTGCTGCTGTTGCAAGTAAAAAAGGAGCTGGTGTGCAAAAGCAGGGCATCAACCATGGTAGATTAATAGGGGGTGCTGGCTTTACTAATGGGGGGGTGCTGCTGTTGCATGTGCAAAAGTTGGGCAAGTTAAAATTAGATTAAAAACACATGATGTAGCGGGGGGTTTGGGGGAGGGAGCTTTAATAGGGGGGGGGGTTCGGGGGATTTTTTTGTTATTGTGGGGGTGCCAGGGCAGATTCCTGGGTTTCAATTAAAACGAGTATTGGCGGGGGGTTATTAATCCTGGGTCAGCATTACAAACAAAAAGAAATCCAGTTTCAGCCAAAGAAAGCCCTACCGACCCGAGCATTGCTTGAGAGAGATGCGGCTTGATTTCCTCGTTTGCTGTTTTTGGTCGTCGCCCGATGGTCGTGAGTTTGAGACATGGATTCTTTCGGTAGACGATCGCTTCATTGGTTGGTGCCACTGAGGGGTCAACTTGGCCTGCCTTGGAACTATTAAAAGTTCACAGGTGTGGGGTTGTCAGCAAAATGGGTGTCCCTTCTTGGGTGACACCTTTTGAAAGGCTTCAGGCGCCACCCATCTTTCGACTACCCATGTTGATTACTTGCCCTGTTTGCTCTTTTGCTCCAACCGTTCAGCGAAGAGCCTCGTATTGTCCCATGGAAAGTCGGATCGGTATTTGCCCAGTTTGAACGATCGGATCAGCGAGCAGTTCCTGGAGGTATGTTCACGCGAGTCCTTGATAGTTCCTTTCGGAGGGCTGAGGCTATTTTTGGAGAGTCGGATGAACTGAGCGATTGTCTTGGTGTCATCTTGCGGCTCCCCAGCAGTCACCATTTCGCCAAGCTTGGCTTGAACCGCGTGGTAGGGTTCAGCTTCCCCGCTGATTTGGTCGCTGAGCCCCCACAGGTTTTGCCGCTTCGAAACCTCGTTCGGTTGTTTTTCCCGGATGGATTCGACTCGCCATGATTGTTCACCGCTCATCTTCGGTCCTCTTCGGTCCTCTTCGGTCCTCTCCGATTGTGTACAAAAATTGGCTTCCTGTTGTTTAGTGCTGCCTTAATGCTGGTTGAGTAGTGCATTTTGCTTGGTCTTGTATTGGTTTAGCATGTTTCTTGTGCGGGGACATGTCTTGCTTATTTATTGAGTGTCCTGGCCTCGACTGAACCACGCCGTGGACAATTATCGGCCGGGCTCGTTTCAAGAAGGCCTGGACGAAAACTGCAGTGTGGGCGCGCGGACTTGTTTCCGATTTTGTTGATTTTGAAGCAGCAGTAGAAGACAAACAATGATTAACAAGGTGGGCTTGGAGAAATCAGGGCCAGATTTCCTGGCGGCTGGGTGAAGGGTAGGGTTGGTGATGGTGAAGTTCTTTGGATGTTTGGGGAGACTTGTTGAAGGGGCATGTTTCTAACTTGTTGAGTGCCCTTCTTGTGTTGTTCCGGGAAACTTGGTTTAATATTGTTGAACAACTGTCTTGAATTGGGTACGCTTTGATGAAGCGGTGACCAACACGGTGCCAATCACATTTCCTCTTGCGAAATGGTTCTTCAAGCAGCCATGCTTCCTGAAAACTAGCAGCATGGAACTTGAAATGCAGCCATTGTGCAGGAACTTTGGCAATTCCTGGAAATGCTTGTGGCTGGTTTAAAATTAGGGGGCCCCTAAGAACATTGGCCTTCCTGTTTGGTTTCTGCTTCTGGTTAACCTAAACCTCGGGTTTCCCAAAGACGCAAATATATTTGACAGGAGGGTTGAGCGGCTAGCTCGCAGATTTATCCGTCTTTGAGGTAAAGTTCGTGAACAAGAACATGTTCCTATTAGAATTTCCAGGACTTTGGCTTGGGAATCCTAGTTCGGGCCGAATTTCCAGTGAGTCAGGCGAATTGTCGCAGCCATTTTTTTGGTACGGGGTTGGCTCACTTCCCGATCGACCGGGAAGATCGTGTAAGTTGCTGGTCTGAAATCCCATCCACTGCTGTCGCCGTTAAGCTTCTCGGTCTCGGTTGACTTGGCTGCATTGTCACCTTTGTGGCCCACGAAAGGGTAGGCATGACTCTTGTAGATAGCCTTGTGCCAGTTGTGGGGACATGTGGAGACCTGGGCCCAGAGTGGTATCATTTTCCTGTGAGGCGGTTCCCCTTGCCAAAAAACACTACCGGGGTCCGGGGTAGGTACACCTCAAGACATTGGCTGAGTGCAGCGCCAGGACAGTCGGACAGATCCGAGAGACACCCCCGCACTTGGCGCAGAAAGGACGCTTTCAAAGCACAGTCATTCCTTGCCCTTGGAGTTGTGCCCCCCATGTTCTTCTCGTTAATTAGGGGGTTCAAAGGAGTAAGCGCAATCAGTCCAAGCCCTTGAAGAAGCTATTGCGTTTGCAGAGGTGGACTGTGGACTGTGTGGAAGCACTGTGGAAGCTTCTTAGTTGAATGATTATTGAGGTGGAACCCCTCTTTCGGGCCGTCTTGAAACTGGGGGCGGCCAACTGAGGACGAGCACGACATGTCTTAGAAGCTTTCATCCGTGTCTCGGGCGTAGGGGCGACGCACTGTTACGTTGTTTGCGCTGTTTGTCAGGTTTCTTCGAATCTACTTCTTGCGCTTATTGCGGTGCTCACTTTGTATTTTGTCCATGCCTCTTTTGGCCGACAGCAGGTTCCACCCGTTGCCACAGAAAGAGGATTTCGCTCTCAAAAGGACGCCGGGAAGACAATGATAGCTCACCCGCAGCACTGATGGGGTGATCGTTTGTATCCTGTTGATGTTAAAGCAGGATCGTAAGCTTATGCCCAGTCAAGTAAGGCCCCCAACTGGCTTGCTTGATTTGGGATTCCCGTTGACATGTAGCTTTGTGTGTTGCTGTGTGTGTGTGTGTGTTTTGTTTGGTGTTGTTCATCTTGGTGCGTTTGTATGCAAGGCACGGTGATTGAAATGGCAGAAATGGTCGGTTGACTTCCGTGAGCTCTTCTGGCTCCAGCCAATAACCATCTGGTCTTCCAAGAGCCTGGCCTGCACTACGACTCGATCATCCTTGGAACAGCGTCAGACAGAACCTCCTTCTTGCCGAGGCCTATGGAGATTCCATAGATTGTATGGGCATTCTTGTTGGCTATGATCATATTCAGAAGTTTTACTTCCTTGGAGTGAAGGTTTGCCGATTTCTTTTGCTCCTTGATTTGGCCTTCAGATCATCTTCATCTTGAGACGGCTGTTGCCACAGCCAGCGAAGGACCACCCCAGCTTTGGGTAAAAGAACAGCTGCATTTTTCCGGTTTTTACCCGTTTGGAGCCAGGGACTGTTTCAAGGACAGTCCATCGGCAGGTTTTGTATTTTTGTTTCTTCCCCGCGGTGACACGCAAAGAGCATGGGCAATTTGTCCAAGCTCGTTTAGGAACCTCGGTTTCGTTTCTTTGCGGGAAGCCTGCGTTGGTTGCGGATTGCTGGTGAATGAGACAATGTTGGGGGGGGTACTTTCATTGGAGGGCCATGTTTTTCATGTTGCGTCGTGCTTGTCTCAGTTTTGCAAGTTGTTGCAGGCTTTTGGTGGCTTTGCTACCCTAATTAAACCAATCCTTACACCACCACTTCACTAAACCCACCCTAAGACACAACTAAGCCCACCCTTTTGTCACAACTAAACTCTAAACCAACCCCTAGCAAAACCTTACCCCAACCTAAAGAAAATCAAAAGAAAAATCAGCCGACCCACCAACCCCCAACCCTAACCAAGCCCAAGCAAACCTTACCAAGCAAACCCTAAACCAACCCGGTATCACCTAAACCAACCCTACACCACCTAAACCCCACCCCTAAACCAATCCCAAACCCACCGTTAACCAGCACGAAACAACCCTAATTAGGTAAACCACGCTATTCAACCCTAACCAACTCCAAACTAACCCTGCCTAAAGACACACACACACACTTGTTTTTGTTTGGGGGCTTTCCCTCTTTTGCGAGTCAACAGATTTCCAGCTCCCGAGGTAGATTCTTTTGCATCAATGCCGCGCTCAGTGCTCGATGCTGCCGACCTGGTCTTGGATGCCTCGCATGTTAAGGAGATCCTTGCCGGGACGACTGCGCCTCGGAAGACGCCTTCCGCATAAAGGAGTCCGAACGAAATCGTTCACCCCCACATGATTGAAAGTTCTCGCATCTCGCCTTCCAGTTGAACAGTCAGCTTTCTCGTTGGGAGTGCATTTGGGACCCTAGAAATGTTTTTTTTTGTTCATCTTTTGGAAAGGCAGGCTTCCCCAAAATCAGTTTGGGGAGTTGAACCCCTGGTTCTCAAGGGTAAATGGGAGACCACCCATCCCCCAAACCGGGCTCCAACCCGCCAATTAGGGGTAAGCTGAAGGCACAATGGGATGCTAGATAGCGGATATGAACCCATGCGGTTTTCCAGCGGTGCCAGCTGCACAACACTTCTGGGACACTCCAAATCAGGCCCGCAGCCTTGACCATGCCGACGTGCATCAGTTGCTCAGCTCACCGTATCTGATATGTCTTGGCAAGCGTCCCATGGATGTTCTGCTTGCCGTAGGGGTTGATTTTGAGGAGCCCTGGAGCTAAATTGGTCCCCGCCAAGGCCGATGTGGCGAAGTACTTTGGCATGAGTGAGCGTGCCGCTGGCGTGTACCAGGCCATCCATCAGGACGGCTAGACGGGGTTCGGAAACGGGGAGACTGGACGGCAGTGTTTGGCAATGAAGGGGGTTCCACGTTCCATAGCCCCCCTTCCACATGTATAGGTAGCCTTTCGAAAGCGTTCTTGGCATTTGTTTACGTTCATTTACTGTATTTGCGTATTTGTTTGACAAATCCGTTGCAGGGGTTCTGACTCACGGCTGGTGGGAGATTTAGTAAGGTTGAAGAATTTGTGGTGGGTCGTATCAGGAAATTTCACAATTGGACTTTCCGAGCAAACCAAATCTCAGGCCGGATGTGTGCGGTACCCGTTCAACCCAAGTTTTCTGAGACCTTGGGGCTGTTCCAATGGAGACCCACCGCCTTAAATTTGGAATTGGGGAAGGAGGGTGCCCGATGCAGGAGTTTGTGAGCACCAGAGATGACGATGCCGCTGGGCTGCCAGGGCTCTAGGGACAAGCTCCTGCAACAATGTGGGTCTTGCAAGGCCAAAAAAGGGGCGCCTGTGGAAGCTCCGTGCTGTTTTGCATTTTCTAGAGTAGAGGGTTGTAGGCGATAAGAGGGACAGGATTTTTTTTGGCCGGTTGGTTGGTTGGCTGGCTGGCTGGTTAGTTGGTTGGTTAATTGGTTGGCTGGTTGGCTTGTTGCCTGGTTAGTGGGTTGGTTGGCTGGTTGGCTTGTTGGCTGGTTAGTGGGTTGGTTGGTTGGTTGGTTGGTTGGCTGGTTGGCTAATTGGCTGGTTGGTCGGTCAGTTGGTTGGCAGGTTGGTTGGCTGGCTGCATTCATTATTCCATTCATTAATTCATTCATTCATTCATTCATTCATTCATTCATGCATTCATTCATTCATGCATCCATGCATCCATCCATCCATGCATGCATGCATGCATGCATGCATGCATGCACTTATTCATTCAATCATTCATTCATTGATTCTTTCATTCAATTATTCATTCGTTCCTTCATTCGTTCATTCATTCGTTCGTTCGTTTTTATTCCCCAGATAGCTGAAAGCTATAGGGGTTCTAACTTCTAATAAAGAAGGGAAAGTGATTTGCGAGATTGAGGACCGGGTGCTAGGGGGCATGCAGTTTGGAGTGCTGGTGGAGGTGCTGTTTTGTGAGCTTGACGGCCGGGTGCTAGGCGGCCTGTAGTTAGGGGTGCTGGTGGGGGTGCTGTTTTGCGAGCTTGACAGCCGGGTGCTTGGGGACATGCGCGCTGGTGGAGGCGCCGCTTAGGGGTTCTAACTTCTTTTGAAGAAGGGGAATTGTTTTGCAAGATTGACGTCTGGGAGCTGGGGGGCATGCGCTTTGGGATACTGGCGCAGGTGTCGTTTTTCGGGCTGGTGACAGCACGTGGCGGCAGGGTGCTCGGGGACATGTCCGGTGCTGGCGTGGGTGCTGCGTGGGGTGCTGCTGGGGCTGCTGTCCTGCGGTGTTGGTGACGGCACAGGCGCATATGGACGGCAGAGTGCAGGGCGGGTGCTGTTTGGGGGATCGTGGTTGTGGCATCATCTTGATGCTGTCCGCAGCATCATGATGCTGTTGAAAAAACCGATTTGGACGTTGTTGCTGCTCCAAATGTCGTGAGTAATGGTTCGTGGTTCGTGGCTGGTGTATCATCATAATGTAGTCAACCACGTTATGATGCTGCTGTCACCGCGATGCTGCGTTATGGTTCGTGGGTGTGGCGCCGCTATGATGCTATCAAAATCAGGATGATGCTGAATTTCATTACTGTCGCAAGATGATTTGTGGCTGTGGTATCGTCATAATGTTGCCTTCACAATCACCATGATGCTGTCCGCATCATCGTGATGCGGTCAAACTCATCAGGATGTCGTCTCTGCGTTTTTTCTGCTGAATCATTCGTGGCTGGTGCATCAGCGTGATGCTGTCAACATGATCATTGTGCTGCTGAGCTCATAAGGACGTTGTCTACGCGTCTACTTAGCGCACCATGCTGAGCGGCTATGGTATCGTCATGATGCTGTCAACATCAGCATGATGCCGCGGGAACCATTATGATGCTGCGTTATGCTTCGTAGCCGTGGTGTGATATCTGGGGTCTATGCTGGTGTCATTCATTCATTCATTCATTCATTCATTCATTCATTCATGCATGCATGCATGCATGCATTCATTCATTCATTCATTCATTCATTCATTCATTCATTCATTCCCTCCTTCAGCAAGTCAGTCAGTCAGTCAGTCAGTCAGTCAGTCATGCATGAATTGAGTCATTTGTTCGGTCTTTCGTGCCTAACCCCCCTGCTGTTTTTCATACAGCCGTTGCGCGGCTTTGCGAACCTCGTTCCTACCAGGGCTGCGCCCCTCCCCCCACCCCAGCCGGCGAGCGGGCGGGCGGGCGGGCGGGCGGGCGTGCGTGCGTGCTTGGTGTGTGTGTGTGTGTGTGTGGGTATGGGTGTGGGTGTGCGTGTGCGTGCGCGTGCGCGTTTGCGTGCGCGTGCGCGTGCGTGTGCGGGTGCGGGTGGCGCGGGTGCGGGTGCGGGTGCGGGTGCGGGTGTGCGTGCGTTTGTGCTGGTTGGTGTGTTTTCTGGCGTGTGTGCGACACAATTGATGGCATGTGTGCGTGTGCGCGTGTTTGTGCGCACTTGCGCGCGCTTGTGTGTGCATGTGCGGCTGCCGGCATGTGAGCCTTCGCGTGTGCAAGCAAGCATGCGCGCGTGATCGCGCGTGCATGGTTGACTGTGTGCGCTCGGCACTGCGCAAGCGGCTGCAAATTTCAAGTATGCCCTGTCACCAGCAACCGCGCAAAATTGCATGCACGTGCAAGCACACAAGCGCCAAAAGCACGCGCGCACATTCACATGCGCGCACACACACACAAATTGCAATTGCTTTTTGGCTGTGCGCGCCGGCGCTGTCGTGCCCAACCCAAAAGGGAAAGGTTAGTAAGCTCCACGGAGGCCATGCGCGAAAACATAAGAAAGCCAGTCTGGCGGAGGCCCGTGTTGGTGACAGTGTAGATGCTCCGCCCTCTGGAGGAGTGCCTTGAACAATAATGGAACCCTCGCGGCATTGCTCGTGGAGTTAAGAACCCAGATCTGAGTAGAAGAATCAAACCAACTACTTTGCCAACTGGGATGGCCTGAGGTAAGTTGCTAGGAACCATGGTGACGAAGTTGGCAACCGACACTCCCCGAGTACTGCCCAATCCACGGTACTTAGAGTGTTGCAATAAAAGACCGTAGTTAGCAGAACTATTGCTTCAATTGCTTCTTTACATGCAGGATACCCATGCTCATGGCTCGCAAGTGCGTGACATGCAGTACCGCGCGAGTTCTACTTGGTGACACGCGTGGACATGCGAACAACACAATGGCACGCAAATGATGCAAGGTGTGTGCGGGCAGCAGCGGAGACTCATGCAGAGTGCGTGGGGTGGATTGGGAAACGCGCTCATGTGGTGTCTTCTTATTCCTAGGCGCTCCGCATCGCCAGAATCAGCCGCCCGCATCGCCAGCGTCACGTGTTCACAACCACGTGTCACTTGCATGTCACCTGCGTGTCTCTACGTGTCACTTGCGTGTCACTTGTGTGTCAGTATATACAGTGTTCCTTTGCCTCGCGTTCGGTAGGCGCAAACCATACCGCAAGCCTTGCAGCGATGCCTGCCAAGGACGACGAGTGTTGCCTTTGGGTTTTCTGCTGCTGCTGCATGTGCGTGGCCAGCGCCTGAGATGAGGGATGCAGCGAGAGTTCAAACTCCGTATGGCCCAGGTAATTTTCTGCACAGCTATCGGCCTTGTGGTTTGTTTTGGGGCACACTCGTTCAGGGTTTTAACTTCGAATCGTTGCGCGGTTCGCAAGGTGGATCACTTTGTCAAATTGCCCAAGGCAATTGGGGGATTGGTTTGGATGCTGGATCCTTAAACAAAGTATGGGCACCACCGGCAGTTCTAAGGTCATCAGCAGCTTTCCACTGAGAAACTCCAGGGTTGTTTGAGCTACCCATTTCAAGAGCAGATACCGACATGACACGTCACCTGTGTCGTCTCCTATAGACGTTGCGCTCTGACAGCTGCACATGACACTGGAGCTGAAGTGCCCGACACCACCAGTGTCACAGACCATGCCACAGCCCGACACAGCCCGACCCAAGCTGTGACAAAACTTCTGAGCCTTGTAATGGCAAGTCAGAGGCAAACGGACAGCTGTGACAGACCACCGCCTGCAGCCTCCACTGATACTTTTGCTACGAAATCTCGTGATGGCAACCTGTTCCAAAATAAGAGTACGATGCAACAAAAATCGCACAGCCATCATGCCCGTCAGAACGGGTCCCCCACGCCATGTTTTGGATTTGTTGCGCCGATGTGCGCTCTTGTTCGGGTTTTGCGCTCGTTTTGTTGATGACTCTTCACTCTTCCCAAACTCGCCCCTGTGAAACTACCGAACTTGTTTCTGCTCGAAGCCCAAGACTGCTCGAGAACAATTGTGCAGAAAAAGCGCCACAGCGTGTCAGCGTGCAGCGAACCATTAATTTTTCGCTACGTCTGAGGCATTTGTTCTTTAGACTTGTTGGTTTCAACCAATGCTGCATATGTTTGGGATTTCAATTCTTTCAACTCCAGGCAAATATGTACAGGAATGATCGGAGTTGCGTGAGACACTTCGCGGAAGGCTGCGATTTGCGACGACGACGGCTCGTGAGCTGGCAGAAGGGTTGGGTGCGGTTTGGTGGATTTTTAGGGGATAGGCGCTGCTTGTTCGGAAGCTTCTGGTAAGGTCTGTATTGAACCCACGTGCTGGGGAGTACCTCAGAATAGGCGTTGGGCGAGGCATGGCATCCCATTCCACGATTTAAGTGCCCAAAGTGCGCTGCTTTTTTTCTGCTTGGGACCGGAAATGAGCCAATCACATTGAGTAATGCAATGGAAGCAGCGCGTTTACCACACTAACGTGTGGACAAGACTCAAACATCTGCGCTAGAGCCCTCTTTCGGTGCGCACTGATGTTTTCAGGGGAATGTATGAACCATGTGTTGACCCGTGGGGAAGCATTTGTTCAATTAAAAAAACATGTTGGTCGCACTGTTTTTTGGCAAGGCGGCCGACCTATGATAGGGGGACCCCTTTGGTTTGCAAAAGGGGTGTTCAGAGTGCAACTTTTGAATAAGAGGTTTCAAAGGGAAGGCGTCCTTGTTTTTTCAAGCATCCTAATTCAAAAACAGCGCACTTGATTTCCACAAGGAACTGAATGGATACCCGAATGATAATCAAAGCCCCTCTCGCAAGGCAACCCTTTGGTGGCCCCCAATAAGATCAATAAGCACATGTGGGGGGGCTGAGTTCGTCTGGTTTCTAGGTAGTTTAGTATTGATTTAGTATTGAGTAGTTTAGAAATAGTATTTACCAAAGGAAGTTCATTTAGAAGACTTCCGTCATATCCCACATGCGAAACACTCGAAGGCAAGCCCCTTTTTGCTCTCACGGTGTCGGAAAGTTCCCCAATGGCACGGCGCCGCAGACTGTTTCAGAGGTGCAAATCGCGTGGCAGGCGCAGCACTTTGGCAGCCTGAGGTGCAGGTTTCGTGGCAGGCGCAGCACTCACGGCCAGGTGATAGATGAGATAGATAGATAGATAGATAGACAGATCAAATGGAAAGAGAGAGGGAGAGAGCGAGAGAGGGAGAGAGAGAGAGAACACAGAGACGGAGGGCGTGGCGCAGCACTTTGGCAACTTGAGGTTCAGATTTCGTGGCCGGCGCATTGTCAAGTATCACTTCTGCAAGGTGAAGTGCAGATTTTGTGGCAGGCGCAGCACTTTCGCAAGGTGAGGTGAAAGATTGTTGTTTCCACGCAAGGTCAAGAACAGATTTCGTGGCGGCGCAACACTTTTGCAAGGTGAAGTGCTGGTTTCGTGGCAGGCGCAGCACTTTCGCAAGGTCAGGTGAAATATTGAAAAATGGTAGGTAGATCGAATGGAAAGAGAGAGGGAGAAAGACAGACAGAATAATAAAGAAAGAAAGGGAAAGAATAAACAAGCAAAGACACAAAGAGAGACAGAAAAAGAAGGACAGAAAGAGAGAGAGAGAGAGAGACAGAAAGAATGACAGAAATAAATAAGGAATTAAAAGACATAAACACACGAAAGAAAGGAAAATAAAGAGAGAGAGAGAGAGAGAAATAAAGAAACACGGACAGCTGTAGACGAGACGAGAAGCTAAGGGAAGATCAAAAAAGATGAGAACAGGCGAAGGGAAGACAAGAGAAAGACAAGAAAAAGGATAAGAGCAGAGCAGAAAAGAGAAGAAAAGAAACGAGAAGAGGGACGGTGGTTGCGTCCTGCGTGAGAGTTGCCCGGCGGGTCGCGGGTTCGATTCCTCCCTGGTCCGCGGGCGGGCGTCGCAAGATGCAACTTGCATAAAGCAACTTGCGCAGAGCAACTTGCGCAGAGCAAGTTGCACAGAGCAACTTGCGCAGACCAACTTGCACCGACCAGTTTGCGCAGAGCGCCTTGCCTAGAGCAACTTGCGCAGGGCAACTTACGCAGAGCAGAGCAACTTGCACAGAGCAGCTTGCACAGAGCAACTTGCAGGGAGCAACTTGCGCGGAGCAATTTGCACAGAGCAACTTGCAGGGAGCCACTTGCAGGGACCAACTTGCACGGAGCAACTTGCGCGGAGCAACTTGCGCAGAGCAACTTGCACAGTGCAACTTGCGTAGAGCAACTTGCGCAGACCAACTTGCACCGACCAGTTTGCGAAGAGCACCTTGCCCAGAGCAACTTGCGCAGAGCAACTTGTGCAGAGCAACTTGCACACACACACACACTGCAACTTGCACAGAGTAACTTGCGCAAAGCATTTTGCGCAGAGCAACTTGCGTATGTGCCAGGCCGGAGTAAACAAGTTTGCCGCACATCGTGGCGAGTTACGCTTTCAGGCCACTCGTCCTCTAGGAGTTTGACGCAAGGAGTTCTCATCATGAAAGGTCTTGCGGGAAGCTTGCGTTCATGAACGAATTTGCTTTTGTGGTCGAGGCGTTGGGTGACGAGAGGCATATTTACGGGCACGGCACGCACTGCTGGTTGTCGTGTGGCATCATGCGGATGAGAGTTGGTTCAAGCAGAAGTCATGGAGCTCGAAGTAGCTAGGCTTCAGGCTGGCGTGGCCCAGCGTGGCAAAGCGTGGCTGCAGCAAGAGGTGGCGGCCAAAGCCCAACCCCAACTTCGCGCGCTCGCCCGACAGCTGGATGTGCGCCAGCGGGTCGCAGGCAGCAACGCGCCAAAGGCAGACCTAGTTTCCGCTGTCGTGGAGCAGCTGTGCCCACAGGCCAGGATCGAAATCCTCAAGAAAACAACATTGAGGCTACAGCCGAACACTGGCTCGAGAGTGACAAGCACAGCTTTTCTTGGCTGCACTGCGATCCAAGAGGTGAAAAGGCAGACAAGCTCCGGGCTTTGGACACCACTCGAGGCGAGGCCATCTGCGTGCCTTGGACTCCTTCTCTTGGCGTGGGCGGGCGCTTGTCTTCTGACTTGTCTGCCTGCTACGTAGCCTGCGCAGCCAACATGTGCGCGTGTGGCCTGGCCGTGGCGCAAGGAACTTGCAGGCTGGGATGTTGGCGCAAGAAATTGGCATGTTTTCCTTGCAATGAGGGCGTATTTTCTGCACTGATCCATGTAGTGTTTGCCCTGAACGCTCCTCGCGAGGACAAGCTAGAGGTTGCGATGCACGCGGCTTGGCTGGTAGGCGTTGTGGGAGATCCTGTGCACAGGCCATGCCAAGTGTGCGGCACGAAAATCAACCCGGACACGGGCAAGCGCAGGCGAGCAGACACAAGCTCTTGCCCCAGCCAGCCGGACCTTGCCTTGAAAGTGCTAGCCACAGCGCACATTGCTACTGGAGTGGCACGGTGGAGAACGTGCTCATCCGCGGCGAGCAAACTTGCGGAGCTGATTGCGGAGAAGGGCACGCAGGCGCTGTGCTTCAAGGGGCCTTTTGATGTTCGACTAGCAACAGCTCCGAACATGACTCAAGGTCGTTCAGCGTGACGACCTGCAGAGATGGGGTCGGCCGCCACGCAAGTGGATGGCCGCTCTGCGACGACTCGGACCGGCCTATGGTCAAGAAGGTGGTCCGCTTGGAAAGCCAGCGCGCGAAAGGCGCTGTGTTGCCAGTGGCAGATCCATATCGAGATCTCTCTTGCTCTGACTTGGGCATCTTCTTTCCTCGCGGCAACGTCTTTGCCTCCTACATCTCCATGGTGGCGGTCGCGAAGGATGACCCAGACATCAGAGAGGTTGACATCAACGGGGACAAGCATTTGGTGACTGCCCACCATCATGTGGTGCCATTTCCGGAGATTGACGGCGCCAAGCCCTTTGCCGTTGAGGCATTTTGCCACGCCCCGCGCTTGCTTGTGGGAAAGCCGATCCAAGATTGCGACACAGACCTTATGACTTACCATGTCGAGTGGATGGCCAGGGCGAATGACGATGTTGTTCGCTCTGTGGTCGCAGAAAGAGACATGGTGTGCCACCTGCTGGGAATGAAGCCGGAGTTGGCCTCAAAAAAGCGCACGGCTGAGATGTTGGTTGCAAGCACACCGTCAAAAGTGACGTGCTCTTCCTGGAGTGATGGCAGCTAAGGCTTGCACCGCACTGGCGCTGCTCGGACAGACGCTGTTGTGCGGAACTCCGATGCGCGTCGGGTTTTGCTTGCCTTTGCGAAGCTTTTGATCATGCAGACGCGTCATACTTTTTGAAAGCGATCAACGAAGCAAGTGAGAAAAAGGGTCGTGCGTCGCAGCCTGCGCCACTGTAGGAGCATGCCTGTGTGCAGCGCTTGGCCTCTGCGCATTGTGTTGCAGGCGCGCCTGCCGCGGGCCGCGCCCTGGCTGACTCCTCGCAAGTGACCATCACGACCATGACACGCTTGGTCCAGTGGCTGCGTCCTTGCGCGCAGCTGAAATACCACTGCGGGTTGTCCAGTGCTTTTCTCCATTGGTATTCATGTTTGCATTGGTTCGAAACCGAAGCGGCTTCAGCCATTTTCCCCTATGTTTGCATTGATGGCAGCTTGCTTCTTTCCAACATGACATCATCAGCCCCAGCTCCTGCTTCTTCCCGCCTTGGACTCGCGCTTGCAGCCGGGCGGCGCGCTGGCGATCCAGCAATCGAGGGCATCAGCCTGGATTGCTGCCGTGGCCTCCGCCTTCCGCAGCGAGGTCACGTCGCGCGGGCTGACGCGTGCTTTTCTTTCACTCAATGAGCCAACAGGCCATGAGCCGCCTGTGCGCTTTTCTCGCGCTTGCTTCACGAATGCTTCACGTAGGGAAAAAGAACGCATCCTGCAGCGTTGGGCCGACCTTGCTTGCGATGTTATGCTTTCGGGCCAACCGTGGTCTAGTGCATTTTTAGAGGGAACCCAAATCGAAATCCAGGCTTCCCGAAAAGAAGACACACCCATGGTTGTTTGGGGCAGTGATTCGCCCGAGGTTTTTGGAAAAGCGGCGCATGGACAAGAAGGAGCCGGGGCAAATGTCCATGGACGTGGAAGCGGTGCCACAGGCGGGAGAGATGCAGTCAGGCAGTCAATCAGTCAGCCAGGCTGGTAGGCTGGTGAATTGTGAGGCCTATGATACGCAGGGATGAGGGAGAGATAGGAAGGGAAGTTTGTTTTTGGTTTTGATTGTTGCACTGCATGTTCGGCATGCGCTTCGAATATTTTTATGCCAGTCTGCAATTTTGGCTCGCCGGTCAAAAATCCTGGGAGTTTACGTCGGTGTGGCCTTGACTGGTCGCATCCTGAGCTGGCCAATCTTGACACGCTTGTTTTTCTCCTTTCGGCTTTGCCCTGTTGCGAAGGACAGAAACCGCTGACATCTGATTCAGCCCAACCAACCTCAAGTAATTTTCGCTCCCGTGCCACATTCGAGGGGGAACAAACATGCCTTGACCAAACATGTAAAGTCGGTCCCACGCTCCTAGACAAGAGGTAGGAGCGCAGGCCCGTCTTTAAATGCTTGGTTAAGGCATATTTGTTCTCCCTCAAATGTGACAAGAGAGCGTGGGTTGAGGTTGTTTGGGCGGACAGCGGACGCAAGTGATCTTCGGCAGCTCATGCTTGGAGGACGCTGGGCTGCAGCCCGGGCCTCTAGACTCTAGACGGCTCAGAAATGAGGCGCGAGCAGGCAGTAGGGCATTTCCAGGGCACTTTGCGCGAGGTGCAGGTGACAGTTGAAAGCTTGGCTGCGGAGCGACCATGAGGCTTTAGTACAACGCAGACGACAAATGCTGAATGCAGCCATTCGCCATAGGTGAGTTGAAGAGAGGAGACGACGCCTGACTGCTGGCACAAGCTCATTTGAGAAACAAGTTTGTAAATGTGACTGCTTTACTTGATGATATGCTTCCTTCGCGAAGTTGGGGACCAAGAGCCTGTTTAAACCCGTGCTGTCCTGATCCTTGATGCTGATTGCCTCAAAGCCCATGGAGATGGAGTCAAGCGCTCGCTCACTCGGCGCAGGGCTCTTTACCACTTGACTTTGCCCTTCCCACTGGGTTTCTTGCGGCTGGAGGAGGTAGCCCGCAGCCATTGTGGACAAAACCTCGTGAAGGAGGCTCAGAGACTGGTGGCTATCACGGAGGAAATCTGCCCTGAGATGGAAAATGCAAAGGTGAAAGATGGCAATGGCATCAAGCGTCCGTCAAGAATTCAGCGTGGAAGTGCTATGTCAGAAGCCTCTAGAGAAAGCATGAGCCTAGTTTTTGCAGTGGGTGAGGTTCTCACTAAACAAAGCGGACAGGCAGTTGAGACAAGGGCTTGGTCTTATTTCGGGCTCTCATGCTGTGGCTTGGGGCCTGGAGGTGGATCGCCGCACGAAATTGATGAAGGCGAGGTGCTTGCCACGCCCAAGTGCACCCGTTGCTTGAGTGGGATTTGTGTGTGGCCCGTGTGAAGACCAGAGGCCCCGTCTTCATGTGTCTTTGAAGGAGCGATGGTTGAAGGGGAACCGTAGGGAAACAAACCTATAATGCAACAGATGTTTCATCCGGGGTCGACATCAGTTTATTTCAGGACGCGCGTCTTGCGAAACAGCTGGAAGTGACACTGGCTGTCCGATAACGAAATTTTGGCAAGAGGGGAGATCAGCCCTCCAGATTGCAGACTTTAGCAGGCGACTGATGACAGCGTGAGATTGTGCCAAATGCCCAGAGTTGTCGGCCTTGCGCAACTCTCAAATGTGGGAAAATCTGGCATGACAAACCAAACGCGACACGCAAAATCAAAGCCTCAGCCCTTTACTTTTAAAGGGTAGCCGGGTCTAGGATTTTGCTGGTCCCCAAACCAAAGTTAAGAGAAACCCTAGCAAGCCCACAGTCCACAAAGGGGAGTTGCCCCTGATCCTGTTTGATATGAGTGTTTCGGGGTCGTCTTTCTTAAGCGGCCTTTTCGCGGCGGAGTAAAACAATCCAGATCAAAGCCTAAGCCATTTACTTTTAAAGGGTTGTTCATCGTGGCAACACTCGGAATCTGACAAGCCTTGGCAATATGTAAAATTTGCACTATCAAAAATAAAGTTTAGGCTGGAAACCTTGGTGATGCCAAATTTAGACTTTGCAACACGGCAAACCCAAGTCCAGCCAACCCACCCCCCTCCCTTGCCCGGCACTCTTCGGAGGAGGGGGGGGCAGATTCATTGAAGGCCCAACACTATCTGGAAAACAAGCCCAAACTAGCCCGACACAAACAGCCCAAGCAGCAACACGTAGATGACAGGCTGCCATGTCAGACCAAACAACTTCCTTTTTCCCGAATGCGTAGCAGAAGGGTTCCCGTTTAGAGGTCGGGGGTGTGGGGTGTTAGGACGTGACCAGGAGTTGTTGAATTTACGTCCTCAAGCGTCCGTATGTGTTCGCGAGTGTCGCGTTCGCAGCTTCAGTGGGGAAAACGAAAAACGTGCCACTTAGATGACTTGAAGCGTGTCATTTTTCGTGCCCCTGTGCGGGAATCGTAGCTTCTCAAGCTCGACGTGTCGTTTCGCTGCGCAGGCGCAGTGTTTTGGAAGGCTGCGTGTTCTCGTTGCCGTGCCAGTGGGATTTGCGATCCAGGGGTGGTCGTTTTGAGGTGGCAGGCGCGTGATAGTGTTTGCGCCGGCGCTGTTTTCGTTGGCCCTGTCGTACAATCGGCTTGTTTTGGCAGGCTTGGAACATGTCAATATTGGTCGAAATCATTCTGGCGCTGCAGTCCCGCGCTAGTTTTCCGCATGCGATGCGAGAGTGTCAAATTCTGATTTCGTGGCAGGCGCAGCATTTTGAGCCTTTTGCATGTCGCTGTAGCTTGATTTTTCGTGGCAGGCGCAGGATTTTAGAGCTTTTCGTGTCAGATTTCGTGGCAGGCACATCACTTTAGAGCTTTTCACGCAGATTTCGTGGCAGGCGCAGCACTTTCCAGCTTGCGTGCAGATTTCGAGGCAAGCGCAGCACTTTCGTTGGGTCGTGTCGCTCTCGCTGTGGCGCGGTGCGCATTTTCAGCGCGCAAAGTGAACCCTCCGGCGCTTTGGGTGGGTTGAATCGCTCTGGCTGTGGCGCGGCGCACCTTTTCGCACGCAAAGTGAACCCTCTGCGCGCTTTGCGTGTGTCGAATCGCTCTCGCTGTGGCGCGGCTCACATTTTGAGATTGCAAAGTGAACCCTCTGCGCACTTTGGGCGGGTCAGGTCGCTCTCGCCGCGGCGCGGTGCGCATGTTGAGATCGCAAAGCTAACTAACCCTTTGCGCACTTTGGGTGGGTCGAATCGATCTCGCTGTGGCGCGGTGCACATGTTGAGATCGCGCAGTGAACCCTCTGTGTGCTTTGGGTGGGCTGAATCGCTTTCGCTGGGCGCGGAGCACATTTTGAGATCGCGAAGTCATGACGAAACACGTGAGGGTGTGACACGAAACGCGAGTAGGGTCGTGGCTAGAGACATGAGACAGACCACGAAAGGCAGGACGGGAGATGTGACGGAGTTGTGACGCGAGACGCGTCGAGACACATGATGAGAGATGTGTTGGAAGTGATGACGAGAGACGGGAGCAGAGTTCTAACGACAGACGTCACAAAGCACGTGACCAAAGACGTGACAACAGACGTGAATAGAGGTGTGACGATGGATGTGAGGGATGTGACAAGAGACGTGCGAGGAGAGTCGCGACGAGACGCGAGATAAGCCGTGACCAGAGACGTGACGAGAGATGCGACAAGATCCGTGACGAGGATCGTGACGCGAGAGGTTACCAGAGACGGGATGGCAAATACGAGAGGAGACGTTTGAGAAGAGACGTGGCGAGGGTCGTGACAAGAGACGTGACCAGAGACGTGACGCGAGGGGTGACGACGCGCGCGACAGGATCTCCAAGAAAGACGCGACGGGAGATGGACGTAGTCGTGACGCGAGACGCGTCGAGACACATGATGAGAGATGTGTTGGAAGTGTTGACGAGAGACGGGAGCAGAGTTCTAACGACAGACGTCACAAAGCACGTGACCAAAGACGTGACAACAGACGTGACCAGAGGCGTGACGAGGGATGTGAGGGATGTGACAAGAGACGTGCGAGGAGAGTCGCGACGAGACACGAGATAAGCCGTGACCAGAGACGTGACGAGAGATGCGAGAAGAGACGTGACGAGGATCGTGACGCGAGAGGATACCAGAGACGGGACGGCAAATATGACAAAAGACGTTTGGGAAGAGACGTGGCGAGGGTCGTGACAAGAGACGTGACCAGAGACGTGACGCGAGGGGTGACGACGCGCGAGACAGGATCTCCAAGAAAGACGTGACGGGAGATGCTACGTAGTCGTGACGAGAGGCGTGTTGAGACACATGATGAAAGATAACGTGAAAGTCATGACAAGAGACGTGGCCAGAGTTGTTACGACAGACGTGACAAAGGACGTGACCAAAGACGTGACCAGAGGCATGACGATGGATGTGATGGATGTGACAAGAGACGTGCGAGGAGAGTCGCGACGAGACGCGAGATATGGCGCGACGAGAGATGCGACAAGATCCGTGACGAGGATCGTGACGCGAGAGGTTACCAGAGACGGGATGGCAAATACGAGAGGAGACGTTTGAGAAGAGACGTGGCGAGGGTCGTGACAAGAGACGTGACCAGAGACGTGACGCGGGGGGCGACGACGCACGTGACAGGAGACATCTCCAAGAAAGACATGATGGGAGACGCTACGTAGTCGCGACGAGAGGTGTGTTGAGACACATGATGAAAGATGCGTCGATGAAAGGTGTGACGAAAGTCATGTTGAGAGATGTGGCCAGAGTTGTTATTAAGAGACCTGCCTTCAGGGACGTCGTGACAAGAAACGTTGTTTCGGACGCGACAAGGACAAGGAAAAAACGAGAGACGTGACAAGAGACGCTGTTACGAGAAACCTGACAAGGGGCATGACCAGAGACGTGACGTGAGATGCCACCAGAGACGTGACTATACACAAAAAAGAGGAATAGCCAGATACTCCACCTGGCGAGGAGAGACGTGACGAGATTGGATTAGAGACGTGGCGCGAGGGCCGACGACTCATGCGTGACAAGAAACGTGACGAGTTTCACCAAGAAAGACGCGGCGGGAAACGCGACGGAGTCACGACGACAGGCGCGGCGAGACAAGTGATAAAAGACCAGAGACGCGACTTGAGGGGTGACGACTCGCATGACAAGAGACATGACGGGCGTCGCCAAGAAAGACGTGATGGGAGACGTGACAGAGTCGTGACGAGCGCAGCGAGACACATGATGAAAGGTTTGACGAAAGGCATGACGAAGAGACGTGGCCAGAGTTGCTACGAGAGACGTGACAATGACGTGACCCGAAGTGACCAGAGTCGTGAGTATAGAAACGTGACTAGAGACGCGATGCGAGATGTGACAAGAGTCCGCTTTCGTGTCCGCATTCGGGTTCGTGGCTTCTATCAGGTTTCAAGACCCTCGAAGCAGTCGCAAGATCCTGCGTCAGAAAAAACTGTTCAAAAGCAGTTACAACATTACGAGAAACTCATCTCAATCACCCGCTAGCGGCGGCGCGGCTTTAGTCAAGGCCAAGGTCACTGCTATATGTACTATATGTGCTATATGGGGCACGTCAACCTGCAGAGCCTCCACTGAGGGGGCCTTGCAATTTTGAAGGAATCCAGGGATTTGGGGCCAGAAACGTCCAGTCTTGTTCCGCGTTGGTATGTGGGAGTGGTTTTCATCAGAACATGCTCGCAGCGAGAACGCTACAAGATGGATTTGTTCATTTGCTTCATCCCTCACCATGGCTGGCTGGAGAGACGAAAGTCATGGACGTCCTTTGCCGCACAACTTGTTTTGCTTGTGAACTCGGTCATGTTCCACAGACATTTCTGTGGGCTCCTGACCCAGGGAAGCAAAAGCTGACCCAAGGTGGGCATGGAGGCTTCGCCGCAAAGGGCTTGCAAAGCCCGCAAAAAAAGAAGGCGCCAAACATAACAGGCGAGAACGGATCTCAAACTTCGGAGCTCGCAGGTTCCCCACTTCCAATACTTGGGGCAAAGCGTGCGTTGGGAGGTCAAGCGGGAGAGCTTTCTGGAAATGCTCCAGCGGGGCATCACGAAGGCGAACGGCATTGCTCTTTTTTCTTTTAATCTGGCGTGGCCCCTTTTGACTAGCACTGCCTTGCAGGGCTTTGGGTTTCGAATAAAAGGCGGGGGGGTCCCCTATAGCTTTGTATTGTGAGGTGGGCGGGGGTGAAGGGAGCTAGACGCCGTGCTCGCAACTTTGTGAACCCATGCCTTTTTGAAAAAATGGTTTATCATATTTAAGCCACTAGTCAACGAATAAGCTAGAGGTTCGAACCACGGGCTCAGAAACTAGAGGGTATCACAAACTAGCAGCCGGATGTTGTTGGCGTGATCCCTCCACATGATTGGCGTCCTACGTTCTTTGCAAATGGACAGACAGATCTTCGTCATAGGCAATGCCAAGTATAGGAGTATGAAAACCAACCTCATCACAAACAGGAATATCGTTTCCTCAGCGGATTGGCCGCAAAAAGTGAAAACCGGACAAAGACATGTCCAGAATGCAGCATGTGTGACAGAGTGCGTGGGCGATCGCGAGTACCATGCCAGGCATGGGCGCAGGCGTGTGACAAAGTGCGTGGGCGGGTGTGCTTACCTTATGCCAGGCACGCGCACAGGCGTGCGGCGGAGTGCGTGGGCGTTCAAAATTAACAATCCAAGCGAAGCGGCTTTGTAGGTTGATGGGGTGTCAGTCTTTTGCGGACCAATTAGTTGTTGCGTGCTGTAACCTTGCCAGCTGCTCATTAGAAGAATGCCTGGCATGCGCGGCGTGCAAACTGGGTGATAGTAAGATGCCAACCCAAGACGCAAGCGGCTCATCGACCATGCCACGCCGTCACCCAGTATTTGCGTATTCACGGTGCTTTCGTTGGCACCTCCCTTTTCCTTCTATTCGGTTCAATGGACAACTCAGGTCAAATTGTTGATGGCTGAGTCACTTCCCTTTTGCCAGGAAGCCATTGCGCGGGCTTTGTCGGGCCAGGCCTTTGCCAAAAAGGCAGGGAGTCGAGACTGCGAGTCGCGAGCTTTGGCCCAAGGGAGCTAGCTCCAGCCGCAACATGATCGGCGCCCTTGTTTTTGTGTTTTCTTACAGCGCCACGCCCAACTGTATGCGCTGGAGTGGAGTAGGTAAGCACATCGGATTATGGGGGGGGGGGCCTTAGATTATTGGAAGCTGGGGTGAGCAGCATGCAATGCGGGTGGGTCAAGCTTACGCTTGGGGAAAGTTACCACGCGCTGTGAAACGAGTCTCGGTCGTCGACGTGCGTGCCCGGACCTCGTGTTCCATCTACTGTGGAGAGTTTGCTTTGTGTCATCACCTAAACGCCTTGTCCCAAAGACGAACGCAAGCAGCTGGCTTTGCGGCAACGTGGCCAATGTGACTTGCACCCACGGCTAGCGCTCGAAATCAACTTGATGGCCCCAGTTTTTGCTGCTAGCTGATGCTGCTGGTGTTGAAGATGGTGGACTCATGCTGCTTGCCATGCTTTCTCTGGATGGTGTGTTGAAAAGCTGCTTTGGCTCAAACGGGCTCATCTTTTCTTCTCATGCTTTTCTCTTCATGCTGCTGCCTTGCTTACGGCTCTCAGTTGCACCTCCTGCTCTCATCTCAAAACTCAGTGGATTGTTGATTTTTCATTAAGCCCCTTATGAAAGAAAGTTTAGAAGGTGTGATTAGCCATGTGTTGAAACGTCACCTGGGATGTCGTGATAGTGACTGACCGGTGGTGGTTGGCTCAAGTTTGCGGGTCCGTCGCGCCGCGGATGAGCGTCGCCGGGTCCCCGCGTCGATCACCTTCGTGTCGGTGGAGAAAGAGACATCGGATCATCGTCGATCAAGGTTGCGGGTATTTGCATTCTTGCTTTGGTTTTTCCCTTTCGGTTGTTGTTCTCTGGTGTGTGGGAAACCCTGATCTTTGGGACCGGGGATTGGTTTGCTGTTGGGGAACCTTTCTTTGTGGCTCGTTTACCCCAACTACCCCTTCGCCTGGGCACAGGCGTGCCCGAATCACAGGTTATCAGCCGTAGGACTTTCCTACGCGCTTGAGACCATCAACTACAAGGTCAATGACGTCGACCCCACGTTCACATAGGAGTGTCGTGGATGAGGAGGCCATCCTAGGTGGCCTCCGCTCAGGTGAGGACTTGCCGGACTACGACTACGAGGACTTCGAAGCAGGTTCAGCAGGTCAGGACTGTAGGGGTGATGATCCCGATGGACACACCCCGAAGCCGTGGCAGGTACACTGACGATGGAGACGACCGTATGTTCCGTCAGGTTACCGATGAAAAGCAAGGACGCGGCTCCGAATTAGGTTTCGGACGGGAGCCATTGAACTTCATCAGCGTGGCGATGAACATGGCCCGCCCGCATACGGGCGACCTGGAGGCTATGCCTAGCCGATCTCCTGGGTCTCTTTTTCCAGGTGAATCACAGGCGTCAGGGAAGCTCGCGGACAGGCCACGAGGACCAGGGACCTTGGTTTTGGCTCCGAGAGATTTCTCGAGTCGACCAACTCAAATTCAAAATCCAGGTCAGTTTGATGAGCATGAGGGGAGGTATCGGATACGATGCCCTATTGTCTTCAACTGCAATGGGGCAGTAGCGTGAAACCGGAGTCTGATGCCGATAGGCCCAAAATCCAGTTTCAACGACTCCATATGAGTACGGTAATGATGATGAATATGCCGCATTTGCGGACGCTCGTGATGAAGAAGAGAGTTTGTCTTACCGAAATGCGAGGAGCCGCGATGCTGCGAGGGCCAGGAGTCCAGCTGGTGCAAGTGTGAGGGACCTCCATGAGGACAGGGACACGCGGAGTGATAGAGAACGGATCCGGGAGAGTCGGGATATCCATGATGGGAGGGGGACGATAGGCCCTCCCGGGATTGAACCCATTCCAAATGTTCCACCTTTCCCCAACATCACTTTTGGAGGACCGCTGCATCAGAGGGTCGAGGACACTAACCGGGATACTTGTTCGTCCAAGACCGTCAGGCGCGCTGCCGATGCAAGTGAAACGGCAGCAAGAGATGGGAGGCTTGCAGGCGCGCTTGGGATTGAGGATCGCTCACCAATCGCTAGCCTTAAGACTTTCACTGAGTCAATAACTGGGAAGTACAAAAAGATACAAAAAACAAACAATCACAAAAACAATACACGCCAAGAATACACACTAAAAACAGAAAACAAACAGACAAAAAGCAGAAAACAAACCACACGCATGCACAGAAAGAGGGAAACAGGGATGCCTGGTCTACCCCTGAAGTGTCCCGGGCGGCATTTTGTTCTTTGTTTGTTCTTTGTTTGTTCTTTGTTTGTTCTTTGTTGTTCTTTTTTTGTGTTTTTCCTTGTGTTTTTGCACATTTTGGATGCCTGGTCTGCCCCTGAAGTGTCCGGGGCTGCATTTTTTGTGTGTTTTTTTCCTCGTGTTTTTGCACACTTTGGATGCCTGGTCTGCCCGTGAAGTGTCCCGGGCTGCATTTTGTTGTTTATTTGTTCTTTTTGTGTTTTGTTTTTTGTTTTTTCCTCGCGTTTTTACACATTTTGCATGCTTGGTCTGCCCCTGAAGTGTCCCGGGCTGCATTTTTTTTTGTGTTTGTTCTTTTTTTTTGCTTTTTTCCTCGTCTTTTTGCACATTTTGGATGCCTAGTCTGCCCCTGAAGTGTCCCTCCCGGGCTGCATGTTTTTTTTTGGTTCTTTGTTTGTTCTTTTTTTGTTTTTGTTTTGCTTTTTTCCTCGTGTTTTTGCACATTTTGGATGCCTGGTTTGCCCCTGAAGTGTCCGGGGCTGCATTTTGTGTGTTTTGTTCTTTTTGTGTTTTTCCTTGTGTGTTTGCACATTTTGGATGCCTGGTCTGCCCCTGAAGTGTCCCGGGCTGCATTTTGTTGTTTATTTGTTCTTTTTTTGTTATTTTTTCCTCTTGTTTTTACACATTTTGCATGCTTGGTCTGGCCCTGAAGTGTCCCGGGCTGCATTTTGGTTTGTATTTGTTTTTTGTTTGTTCTTTTTTTGTTTTTCCTCGTGTTTTTGCACATTTTGGATGCCTAGTCTGCCCCTGAAGTGTCCCGGGCTGCATGTTTTTGTTTGGTTCTTTGTTTGTTATTTTTTTGTTTTTGCTTTGTCTTTTCCTCGTGTTTTTGCACATTTTGGATGCCCCTGAAGTGTCCCGGGCTGCATTTTGTTGTTTATTTGTTCTTTTTTTGTTCTTTTTTTTCCTCTTGTTTTTACACATTTTGCATGCTTGGTCTGCCCCTGAAGTGTCTCGGGCTGCATTTTGCTTTTTACTTGTTTTGTGTTTGTTCTTTTTTGTTTTGTTTTTTTCCCTCGTGTTTTTGCACATTTGGGATGCCTAGTCTGCCCCTGAAGTGTCCCGGGCTGCATGTTTTTTGGTTGGTTCGTTGTTTGTTTGTTTTTGTTTTGTTTTTTCCTCGTGTTTTTGAACATTTTGGATGCCTGGTCTGCCCCTGAAGTGTCCCGGGCTGCATTTTGTTTTTTCGTTGCTCGTTTTTTTCCCTCATGTTTTTGTACATTTTGGATACCTGGTCTGCCCCTGAAGTGTTTCTGGCTGCAGTTTTTTGTTTTTTATTGTTTTTGTTTTTTTGGTTGTTTTTTGTTTGTTTCCGCGTCTGTATTTTGATCTTTTTGCTGATTTTCAGTGATTGCCTATCTCTGAGGGTCATAACGCTAGTCCGTCAGGGCACGATCTCAGCAACCTTGAACCACTAAGGTCGAGCAATGAGTTCACCCCTCAGTGGGGCGGAAGCGGATCTGCCAGTAGGGAGCGCAGTGCTTCTGCCAAGAGAGCATCGCCGTTTGCCGGAGATGCTGACAGATCGAGGTTAGCCCGGAGCTGATAGGTTCTATGCCGAAGGATGAGGAGATGTATGATGCTGCTGACATTCACATCCACTCTACGCCCGAATCGCGAAGGTCCGCTGTCATGGCGGTAGCCGGGGGAGGGACGTCGGTCCGAACAGGCCTCCAAGAATGGTCGGTCGTCCTTCATTGTCTGTTCCCAGGAGTCGCGTTAGCGATGAGGGGTTACCTGAGAGGGTTGAGATATCGACTCCTCCTGCCCTCAGGTCCCATTCATCGGGTGACTCCGAGGTGCGGGGAGAAGCTAGGGTAAAGGAAGTGTTTGACGCACACCTTCAGGAGATGTTCGAAAGAGGCGAAGCTTCAGGTCCGATTGTGAACACTCTTGTTGCTTTTGCTGACCAAATCAGGTTGCTGAACGGTCAAGTGAATTCCATGCACCGGGAGTGGTGTGATGAAAATCAGCAGATGAGGGGCAGGATTAGCTGCCTATCTACCGAGGTTGCGACCCAGGCAGACGCTGACCGAATGCGGTTGATAGTACAACGGTTTGCTGCCGAGGTGATGCCTGACAGTAGGGCGATCGTTAGATATGCGATCGATGAGCAGAGTGTTATAATGGATGAGAGGATCAACTCACTTTCTACTGAGGTCCAGAGTTCCGTTAGTAAGGGACATCGAGGGTGGCTTGAATCAGCTTCATCAAGTTGTTGAGGAAAAGCATACTGCCATGTTCGGGAGCAACGCTGTCTTTGAGGATCAAGCCAACGTTGAGATTGGTAAAATTGAGAAGCGAGCCGTTAGGTCACTTCCATCCGTTGGTACCCCAGCTGCATTGGGGCCCGATAGGGCTACCAGCAGCGGAGCTGATGAGCCTGTCAGGAACTTGACCGAAAGAGTCGATAGACGAAGGCGAGAGTGACCGACATGCAGAATGGGCCACCAGGGTTATCGAAGAGGTTGAGACCGAGCACAGGTCGCTTGCTGATCAAATGCTGGAAATGTGGGGGGACAGGGTGACGGATAGGCCTAGGACTCCCGACGCCTCGCAGGATTGGCGTGCTGCCATCGAGGAGGTTAATCGTAAGACCCAAGATCTCGTTCGCAGAGTTTACCGTCAATCCCAGCGATATGCTACAGTCGTCGAGGATGTTGAGGCCACAAACACCCAGATCGCC